GACCCACAGGGCCAGTCGGGCTGCGCAGTGCCAGGCCTGACCACCGCCCCTCTCCCCTCTCCCCCGCCAGGGGTCCCCGGGCCCGACCGGTGAGCCAGGCCCCTCCGGCCCTCCAGGGAAAAGGGTGAGTGTCCTGCCAGCTGCGCCGCCTCCCCCTGCCCTCGCGGCCTGGCTCACGGCCGCCGCGTGTGGGAAGCGTGTCCCGCTGCCTGGCGTCAGCGCGGGCGGGCGGCGGCGTCTGCACTTGGGGCCACCTTGGGGCGAGCGCGGGCCAGAGCGCATTCCCTGGCCGGCACGCCTGGGGTTTCTTTGCCCCCAGTATGCAGCTCTGCACCCCAAGAAGTGGATAGCTTGGGGGACGGCCCGGGAGGGGTGCTGGGCCGACAGCACCTCCAGGGGGCCCCGGGGCAGGGAGGCCCCTGCGGCAGGCGGGGCCCGCCGTCTCCGCCAGCTGCACCAGCCCACCCCGTTCCCCACCGTTGCAGGGTCCCCCCGGTCCTGCAGGCCCCGAGGGCAGACAGGGGGAGAAAGGCGCCAAGGTAGGTCCTGGCCGGCGGCTGCGCCTGGTGGACGCTGCGTGCTGGACGCGGGGGGGACGGTGGGCGCGGGGGCGGAGGGCGCCTCACCTGGACCTGGGCACTGCCCCGGAAGGGGCTAGCGCGTCTGGCTTGGTGCCCCTGTCCGCTGGCCGGGGCCTGGTGTCCAGCGGGCCACACCCTGGCTGCCCGGGAGCTGGGGCGGGGGGGAAGCGAGGCTGGGCGGGAAAGCGGCGCGGGATGGAGAGCCGGCCGGCGCAGTTCCCTGGGGACTGTGGGGCGCTCTGGGCAGACCCCGGGTACCTGGAGGCCTCTGGGCTTCCGAGCAGTGGGCCGGGGTGACCGGACCCGCTCCGCCCTCCTGCAGGGAGAAGCCGGCTTGGAAGGCCCTCCTGGGAAGACTGGCCCCATCGGCCCCCAGGGGGCCCCTGGCAAGCCGGGCCCTGATGGCCTGAGAGGGATCCCCGGCCCCGTGGTGAGTGGACGGGCAGGCCTGGGGTCGGGGCGGTGGAGGGAGGGCTGGGCCTGGGGGGCGGCCGCGCGGTGGGGCTCACGCCAGGGCTGACTTACAGGGTGAACAAGGCCTCCCGGGATCCCCAGGCCCCGACGGGCCGCCCGGCCCTCTCGTGAGTCACATTCTCCCTAAGCTTCTCCTGGAGGGTGGGAAGGGGAGGGATGGGGTGAACTCCAGCCCTCTCTGCCGCACCACAGGGCCCCCCAGGACTCCCTGGCCTCAAAGGAGATTCTGGCCCCAAAGGTGAAAAGGTAAGATGGACTCAGGCGCCTC